GACTCTGCCCTTGGATCGTTACTGGATCAGATTATTCTGAAATCCTTATGGAAAGCCGATTTCACAGACGGTGATGGTTGCTGATGGCCTATTTGACAAGCTGACAAGAAGTCCTAGTATGGTCATCACAATGCTTATGCCCAAAATCGGGATGGATAATATTAAGCGATACTCTCCTGCGTTTCCCGTCAGCAGTCCTGTAATGACTGACCATGTCTGCAACTCAAGCAAGCAGCTTTAGCGGCTATTCTCAACCCAAACTGGCTTTATTACTATTACAAATTATACTTCCTTGTCCGCCTCTGTGTGCGAGTGCCACAGCGGAATTTCATTTTATCTCGTATCATTTATATTTCGTTTGGACTTCAGCTCGAGGTGCTCAACACAAATTGGCTATAGTCAGTTCAGATTGCTGTCTCGACCGGCACTTTCGACTCCCCAGGTTGCCTTGGCGACGTGCGCTTGATTGTTGTCCAACGGAACCTTGTGCCGACTACCCAGCCCCACGGTGGACTGCCTGTTTCCGCTGTTGTGCGAAAACAAGGGCGGGTAGCGTCAACCTACCGGCTATAGCTATGACTGTTTTTCTCTCATCACCACCATCACCATCGCAATTGGGCCCCAAAACAACGACACCACCGATAAGTAAAATCCGCATTCGCAACTCAGACTACCTGACAGACAAAGGTCTGCGTGTGAGTGTACGGGTGTGGGTGGCCGGGTGCGTTGGACACTTGGGACGGGCGAGACTGTTGCTGACTTGTAGGGTCTGGGAGGAGACTGGAGACAGGGTTGAGTTGAGTAAGAAGAGGGCTAAACTTAACGCATTGTAGGCATACCATTTTACACAGCACCGCTGCAGTGATGCTAATCCGCATAATTCAGATCTGCAGTCAGGACGACTGTTACCGACTGACGGTCAGGTCTTGAAGTTTGGGAGGGGTTGGATAGTACGTGAGTAGGATTAATTGGCCGCGAGATGGGTGGTTGGCGATTGTGGGGCTGTTTTGGAGTAGATATGTCGCCTCTTTAAGTTATGCATGCATACTGGACAGTCGACCCGTTATCTTGTACGCCCAATCCCTTCCCCATGTCGACCCTCCCGTCCCTGTTGACTCCTCTCCTGCCTCAGTCCCTTTGCAGACTCGACCAACCTCGCCACCAATGTGCCAGGGGCCGAGAGCGAGCAATGAACGAAAGGACCAGTGCATTTTTCAATCTCCAGCCGACGATTTCCGTTTCCGGTCTGCAACCATGCGCCATTCATTTTTGTATGTCCTCTTCCCTGCCCCTAAATTTCTGTTTCTACTGTGCTCTCTTCGTCCCTCCTCTCCATCACACGGACATACATACTCTACCTCCTCCTCCTCCTCCTCCTCCTCGATGTCCGCTCCTCAGTATACTACTTTTGCCCGTGATGTAGGCTGACCCGGCTATTCTTGTCCAACCTCCCTCTGCAGCTCTCAATCTTCGCCTGGACTATGCACCAAGGCCCCACAGCTCTCTCGTTTTACTCTTCGCTTGCTCGGCCTTCAATGACTCCGTCTCCCTCCCCTTATGCCCTGCCTCACTCTTTGTCTATCTCGCTTTCTCCCCGCCCTCTCCCTCTCAAGCTCCCTCTACTCACCGACAATTCAACTCTGCCCTCCGAGGCCAATTTACTGCCAACCCTTCAGCCTCGCAAATGTCAGCATCGCCTCAAAAATCAGTACCTCTCTTTATCAAGTCTTATCAGAGCTGCCATCACCGTCTCCGGTGTACTCCCAAATGCCCGGAGCAGTGGAGCAGTGCTAGAAGCAATTCGCCTATGAAAAAACAGACTGAATCTCATTCGGGCCTTGTACAGCCGGCCGACTTTCTCTTCTGCATTCAGTAAAGCCAGTCTCCTTTACCTGCTTCTTTATTATCTTTTCCTCTAGATACATGTCTGACTAGTCATCCTATCCTTTATCCCTTTCTCATATACTCACTATTTCTGCCCACCCTTTTTGCCGCATTACTCAATCCTGATGTGTTTGGCTTTCTCTTTCTTTCTGTGACTGACGATCTTCCACTTAGTGGCAACGTGAAATTAGTAGTAGTGTCAACCCCAACACCGCAACGAATGCAGTACTACCGGCATCATGTAATGCACATACCTCGAAAAGCCATCCGCTGTACTCATGGCTCTCCTGCGGAGGCTGACAACCCAATAACAAGCTGCTTCTTGTCCGCCCAACCTCATTCGCTTAATCCGGTGTTAGAAGGTCGCAAATCGCCAACCAGATGAGAACCTGTTCAGCCTTCGCATTATCTTAACACATCCACTACCCTCATTTTTCTCGCTCCTCCTCTCTCGTTAACTTTCCTCCTTTGCCTTTCGCCTGCCTCTCCTACGCTCTGGCAAATCATCTTCACTTCGGTACAGTCCGACAGGCAAGATAGAAAGATAAGCTACACGTTAAGTCGTTGCAGTTCTGAGCACAAGGCATCCGCCTCCATTCGCTGTCCGATTTGCTGGGCCGGCCGATTTCCTGTGTAAACGCAGACTCATAACCGGTGCCTTGCTGGACCCTGCTCTGCTCACCCCATCGCCGTCATCAGGTCTCCCCAGACAAGCAAATTTGTGTCTGATGCGTACGATACAAGAGTAATTATAACAGTAGATATCAACCTACCTGTACGAGAGGGGGGCTGAGACAGAGCAGCCGGATAAGGAGGGCCAAAGGACAAAGGAAAGACGAGTGTCTGTGTGCTAAAGAGAGCACAACGACCAAGTTAAATCTGTCACTGACAAGTAGTCCTTTGAGGTCCGCCAGGTGAAATGTCTCTTGAGCACAGGCTACAGTTGTCAGTGCTCAGCTCTCTTCTCTGGCCAATAAATTATTATTCTCTTTGTGCTCGCTGAGTCGAGGCACACACACACAGGCCTGCAGACACTGCCTATGTCGAGGTGTATTCGTGCACAAACGCCAATGGAAAGCCATCTTAGCCTACCATTGTGTATTCACATTGCTCTGGCCTTGGGTGGATATTGGTACAGACATACAACTCGCATACGTGACACAATAGAGCTAGGATCAACGGATACAGTGTGTACAAGTATCAAAAAACCGCTTTCCCCTGGCTCAGCTCAAATCACCGGTATGTCCGACGTGGTACTGTCCAACATAAGGCGCGGTGTCTTGACTCTCTCGTGTCTTATGTGTGGTTGGCAGTTCACTCGCAATGACGAGGAGTCCAGCAAATTACTATGTACACATACATTTACATAAGTCAGGAGAAGGGATTTCAGCTTTAAGTATACATGGTCAGTCTAATCGGCCGATCATGATTGATGCACTTTCCTTTTAAGTTGACTCTGGGTGATGCGAATCCACACGCATCATCTACCTTTAGATATATACTGTCTACATGCGTGCATGCAGACTGCTTTGACGCCTGAACCCGTTGAAAGCATACACACAGATACTTGTGTGCTTGGACCTGCACTAGTGGATAATAGCAGAACAGCCTTGGCAACATCAAAACGGGCGAGTTTGCTTGGGCCGCAAGAACACAAGTGTATCCGGGGCCGGCTCTTGGTCGGTGTCAGAGCCACCGGAGTTTGTAATTCCACTTTTGAGACCATTTTCTCCTATTAGTACCATGAAGGAGTATGAAGCACGGATTACCTTTTCGCTTGCCAGACCTCCAATGTAATAGATGAGTTGGGCGTGTCATCGGCAGAAATTATCAGGGAATCTAGTCTAGAATCGCTCGAATCCTGAAATTTAGTTGATAGTTTTTCTGCTTTGTTTAAACAGATTATTCATGGATGATTGTGAAAGGATAAAAGCATAAAAATTCCGAAAAGTAAAGATAACCATTTGGCATTAGTCGGTCTGCATGTACTGTTGCTGATGATTCTATAAATGTTGAAGATTGACGTAAACAGTCCTTTGGTTTCGATACGAGATTCCGTCAATTCCCCTCACCTTCTGCTTGTTATGGTGCCTAAGCCGCTTCAACGAAGCTCAGCTACCCATCATTTGTCACTGATTTCTATCCAGCATTCCACCGTATGCATATTTCCAACGAGATTAGATTTTGAGTCCAATAATTC